AATTCTATTCCATTAAAAATTCTAATTAATTTTAAACTAATTTCTAATAACAATTTTAAAATTACTAACTTAATTCTAAAATCCTAAAATATCTCTATAATTACTAACTTAACTCTAAAATCCTAAAATATCTCTATAATTACTAACTTAAATCTAAAATCCTAAAATAATCCTAAAGTAAATCAAATCTTATTAATTCTAAAATCCTAATTTAATAATACTAATAATTACCAATAAATCCTAATTAAACTATCAATAATATCTTACACTAAAAAAATATTCTAACAAGTAAATAAATAATTAAAAGAAAATAATCCTAAAAAGATAATCTAAAACAAATATGACTGTTAATTAATAAAAATAAATTAATCTTAATACTAAAAATAAACTCCTAATAATATTAAAAATGAATAAACCTATTTCTAAACTATTAATATTAACAAAACAAAAAATAAAAAGATTAACAAATTAGCAAACCTATAAAATAAACCTAACTAAAAACTATCTTCTAAAAAAATAAAATATTCTAAAAATTAATTAAAATCTATATTAAACCATCAAAATTCTAACAAAAAAACTAATTGATAATGTATTTAAAACTTAAATCCTATTCTAAACAATTATATATAAAAAAAACTATTTAAAAAAAATCTATTAAAATCAAAGACTATTTAATTGAAAAATAAATAACTATTATTCTAAAAATATAATAAATAAATAAAAACTAATTAATTATCTAAAAAAAAGAAAACAATTCTACACCTAATTAAATTAAATAAATGATAAAATAAAAATATGAACAAAAAGGTAATATTTGCAAGAAAATGAGAAAATAAACAAAGGATTGAAATTTACGAAAATACCCTGAGGCCACGTGTCACACTCCTATTGGGCAAAAAAGTCGAGATTTGAAGAACGCCCAATCGGGGCGGACACGTGTCTAAACAGTATGAAATTAAATGAAAAATGCAAAATAAAAATGCGAAACTATTTACAAAAGTTGGCGGGCAAATTTAGGGTATGACAGGTGGGTGTACATGATATCCACCAAGCTCCCTCCATCAACCAAGATGTGGCGGACGTTGAAATTCGCCATCTGTGCCCGGATCAGCAGAGAAATGACGGCGTTGGGGGCTCCTCCGAGCAGCTCCTTGAGGTAGTAAGTGATCGGGTTAGACAGACCGTGGAACTTATCGAGGGTGCTCATCTTGCTGGAGCTCTTGCTCATCAGCTCGTTGAATTTTCTCTTCACGGACCCGACAGAGAGTTTGTTTGGGGCCCTGCCGGAGATGACCATCGCGGTGGGGAAGTATTCCCATGGGCTGACGGGGCGTATTGGTTCCTCGGAAAGGTTGAGCCCGACAGGGAAGTTGAGTTCTCTTAGAGAGAAAAAGTCTTTGAGCCAGGTTATGCTGAGGGTCACTTGCAGTCCGGTGTCGTTGGCGGACGGAGGCACGTCTTCGACCCTTTTGGCCTCGTGGGTCTCTTGTTTTGGGGCTTCTCCTCCCCTGGTATACCTCTTCAAGTGCCCACCTTGATGAGTATCTCGACCGCATCCTTGAGATGGATGCAATCCTCGGTGACATGTCCGTGGCTGCGGTGGAAGTGTCAGTACTTGTACTTGTCCACATTAGCTTTGGTGTGCCAGTTTAAGGAAACAAACACCTCCCCTTACGAACTCTGAATTGGCGCACTCGGTCAGGATGCGCTTGCGGGAAGTGATGAGGGCCGTGTATTCAGTGAACCGGCCTGCGGGGCCCCTTTGTTCTCAGAGTTCCCAGGGACGATCATCTCGTCGTCGATCTCCCCCGCACCGGGGGGTTGGTGCTTCTTCTTCCCGAGTGCCACGAGCAGCTTCGCGATTCCGAGAGTCTCGAACGAAACTGGAAGCTTCGGTCTCCTCGAACCGGATGTATGCTCGAGCCTTTTCGAGGAGGCATTGAAGGGTGGTTGACCGGTGAATTGCCACGACCTCGATGAACTTGGAACCGCAATACAGCCCTTGCTCCATGAGGTATCGCTTCATGTCATTGAAAGTAGTTATCTGGACTACCTTCGTGATGAATCTCTCAATATAATTCCTAAGAGACTCGTCCCAGGCTTGGATGATCGCGCCCAGGGCTACTTCCGTCTTCGAATGACGCTGGGATGCCATGAAATGTTGTGAGAAGAGGTCTTTCAGAACCCTCCACGAGGTGATGGATTCGGGTTCCAGGCTCTTGTATCATGCCATGGCTCCCTTTCTCAGAGTCTTCGGGAAGAGCCTGCATTTGATAGCTCCTCGGACGTTCTGGTAGTCGAGCATGACTTTGATGTCTTCCAGATGGTCGTATGGGTCCGTCGTGCCATCATAGGTGGAGAGGGTGGGCGACTTCTCCATCCCGTGGGGGATGGGGGTCTCCATGATATCCCGTGACAAGGGAGTCCGATGATTGTCCTCGTCACTCCGGACAGGGGAGCGCGAGGGGGAAGGACTGCGTCGAGGTAACTGGCCGCGACCCTTCGTCCTCTTGCTCGGACCGCCAGGTCTGTTTTTTCTCGGGGCCGGGGAGCGCCTCTTCTTTCGAGGAGGTGACCTCTCGAGCTTCTTGGAGGCCACGGTTTAGGGTCTCTCCAATTGTGGCCGGCGCCCCCGTTGACGGGGAGATGGGCTTTGAGAATCCTCGCGCTGGGATCTCCGTGGGGGAAATGTCTGTCGTGTCTCGCGTAGTACGGGAGAAAGAGATGGACGGTCCTACTCTAGCATCCCGATACGCTCGTTTTGCTGGAACAATATCAAGCTGGTCTGATTAATCGTCGCGAAAAGGGCCGTCATCGTCGGATCTGCACCTACTGGTCTGGGGACGGGCTGAAAGGTAGCTGGACTCCTTGCTTGAAGGGCGACGTGGCGGGTCGTCAGATGAAGGAGAAGTTATCTTCCCATCCATAATGTCACTGTCATGGTCGTTGACGGGCACACCATGATCTTCACCGTTGGTGAGTGGGTCGAAGGCGGAGTTGTGGACAACATCCTCGTGGTGTGGGCTGGCCATGATCGCAAAAGTTGATGAAAGCTTTGGTTCTATTGCCCGGAAGAACGAGGAAGCTTTAGGTTCTCACAGACGGCGCCACTGATCTCACCTGATCAGAAGGAGTGACTGGTCGGCCACACGTCTGAGCTGTCTGACTGCTGGGAGAATGGAGGGGGTGTACCTGAAACACACTCTGATGCCAAAGTAAGAGTCGAACAGACTGATAACAAGTACAGAAAGAGAAGTAAGAATGAGATTATTTGACCCTCTAGTGAAATAGGGTATTTATAGTGTGCCCCTATCGCATGGCCAATGGTTACTTCGTGTTGGGCTGGGCTGTCAGGCCCAACGTTGGTAACTGCTAGGGCTGACGTGACGTCAGGAAGACCAACATGTGGTCTTCGCCCTAGTGTAACTGCTCCGTGCTATCCGGGAGGTGGAGGACCGACTAATCAGGGCACAAGTAGTTACCAGATGACATGTCTCCGCGTAGGAGACACATTGAGAACGTGGGGAGTTCAGAGGAGCCCCCCGAGCTGGATAGGGTCTGCCCGACGATTGGGCAGAAGGGAGAGCGTGCCTGGAAGACGAGAGAAAGGGTTTTGCCCGATGGGATAAAGGGCTCTGCCCGACGGAGAGGCAATTTAGTTCTTATTGGGCCTTCCAACTCGATGTGAGGTTGGGCCACCTGCTCAACTGTGGGCTAAGTGTCGGCCCAGTCCAAAACAACATTTATATCACATATAAATTATTTTGATATATAATAAAAATAAAATTTTGATAAAAAAAATAACAAAAAGATGAAAATAATAATAAAAGTAATTTAAAAAAAATTGATTAAATAATGACACGACACATTATATTTTGAGTTCCATAATATCAACAATATATAGAGATGTCGGTAAGTTTTGTTCTTTAATTTAATGTCATTATTATAATGTCAATAAATACGTAAAGTGAAGCTAATTTAGATATTTTGTTCAAAAGAAAGTTATACTTATACGAGGACTAGAGAGTAATTTCATCTCCACGACCAAACCACACATCAAAACAAGACTCCATCGTGTCGTTTTTCACCACATCGCATTTAACGGTGTCGTTTTTCATCACATCACGTTTAACGACGTCGTTAACAACACTTCATATATTAGTGCTGCAAACGCACGCTTCATACTCATCGAATCCACAATTCCAGTTTTCAGCTAGGGCTCGCCTCTTCTCTCTCACTCTCTCCGCGGCCTTCTCTCAGATTCGCGCCGCTACGGTACTTTCTCAGATTCCGCAATTTCTGTGGTTTTATTGTTGATCGTATTCGTATTTTATGTATTTGATTTGTTTGATTTTCCTTTCGAATTTGTTGATTCTGTGATTTCTATTGATTTTCGCAATTTTGATGTTGTTGATGTTGATTTCGTTATTATATCATCGCAGTCACAAGGATTTTGTATCTGTATTGTAGAATTGTTATTGTAGATTGTAGACGTACGTTCTCTGTTATGTACTCTGTTATTGTGATGCTTTAGAATTAACATGCACGTGTTTGTTTGTGTATTAGTATTATTAATATACGTAATTGTGTTTATAAGTTGCTGGTTTATTTTATTTGATAATTAGGGGTTTTACTGTGATTTGTGTTGTGATTTGTGTTGTGTGATTTTTTTTGGGTGTAATTTGTTGATTGAGCTGGATAGTCTGATTTGGGGGTAAATTGTTAAATGGGAATGCTGCGTCTGAATTGGATTTGATTTGTTGTTATTATGGATGACTTTTCATCTGATGTACTGTCCAAATTAAAAAAATTGATAAGTGATTAGCAGCTTCAATTTTTTTAATCAAATCCCCCTAGTATCAGTATATTCTGTTTCATGTTTGATACTTATTTTTTCACACGCATCAAGTTTATGTTTCTCAGTTTTCATTTATGTGGGTATAGCTTATTTATTGTCTTTCTTATTTCTTTCAAGGTTATTAGTTCCTTATTGTTCAGAGATGGCTGATGCTCATGATACTGATAAGAACATTGAGGTGTGGAAAATCAAGAAATTGATCAAGGCTCTTGAAGCTGCCAGAGGAAACGGGACGAGTATGATTTCCCTTATCATGCCCCCGCGTGATCAGATAGCTCGTGTTACCAAGATGCTTGGCGATGAGTTTGGAACTGCTTCAAACATCAAAAGTAGGGTGAATCGACAGTCCGTGCTTGGTGCAATCACTTCTGCTCAGCAGAGGCTTAAGCTTTATAACAAGGTTCCTCCCAATGGGCTTGTTTTGTATACTGGCACAATTGTGACTGATGATGGAAAGGAGAAAAAAGTGACCATTGATTTTGAACCATTTAGACCTATCAATGCTTCTCTCTATCTTTGTGACAACAAGTTTCACACTGAAGCTCTAAATGAGCTCCTGGAATCTGATGACAAGTTTGGATTTATTGTCATGGATGGTAATGGCACTCTGTTTGGAACTTTGAGTGGTAATACAAGAGAGGTGCTTCACAAGTTTAGTGTGGATCTTCCAAAGAAACATGGAAGAGGAGGGCAATCAGCCCTACGTTTTGCCCGTCTTCGGATGGAGAAGCGTCATAACTATGTGAGGAAGACTGCTGAGCTTGCAACCCAGTTTTATATCAATCCTGCTACCAGCCAGCCTAATGTTTCTGGATTAATACTTGCTGGTTCTGCAGATTTCAAAACCGAGCTTAGTCAGTCAGATATGTTTGATCCCCGTCTTCAGGCAAAAATACTTAATGTTGTAGATGTTTCGTATGGAGGGGAGAATGGGTTCAATCAGGCTATTGAACTGTCAGCTGAAATTCTGTCTAATGTCAAGTTTATTCAGGAAAAACGCTTGATTGGAAAATACTTCGAGGAAATTAGTCAGGATACAGGGAAGTATGTGTTTGGCGTTGATGATACTCTTCAAGCTCTGGACGCAGGAGCTGTTGAGACACTTATTGTCTGGGAAAATCTGGATATGACTAGGTACGTTTTAAAGAATAGTACTACTGGTGAAGTTGTCATTAAGCACTACAACAAGGAGCAGGAAGTCGTCCAAAGCAATTTTAGAGATCCTGAAACCGCTGCTGATTATGAGGTTCAGGAAAAGCTGTCTCTGTTGGAGTGGTTTGCAAATGAATACAGACGGTTTGGTTGCACTCTTGAGTTTGTTACCAATAAATCACAAGAAGGTTCACAGTTTTGCAGAGGTTTTGGTGGGATAGGTGGGATCTTGCGTTATCAGCTTGATATGAGAACATTTGACGATTTTTCTGATGATGGAGGCGTGTATGATGATGAATAGCAATCAATGAAATACTTCCTACTACTGGTGCAGGAAAGGGGGGTCAAAGTACCTGCACCAGTATGGGAGGTAGCTGCACGTGCTGCTGCTGCTCCTCCCGTTCCCCCTCTTCTGTCTGTAATGTTGCATGGAAAGTTTGACTGCAAAATGAGGTTAAATTTTAATGCCCTTTCTGCATCATTTTTAGTATAAATTTTTCTACTGTACTTGATTGTCTGTATTTGTTTTGTCAGAAATATCTTCCTGTAATTTATGTAATTTATTTAACTTGTGATATGTTCCATTAACTTTTTGTTTGTATTGCTTTTCAGCTGCTTTACTCCCAAAGTGCTGTCTGATATGAATTACTTCCTCACTTGTTCTCCTATCGTTCGATCTATGGCACTACAAACTTCAGCAACATTGCTGGCAACAGCTGGTGAAAACCTGTCATTTCCTAGTAAGTTTAGTTCTGTTGTTATTCTGTTATTCCTTTTCTTTATTCATTTGCCGGACATATCTCTAAAAATTGCTATATCATTTAGCTCCTCCTCAATCTGCTTGTATTCAGAAGGGCCAAAACAAAGTCATCCTCCCAAAAGAACACAACCTAGCATCAATGAAGGTCAGTCCTCATAATAAGTTACCTAGCATATGTCAATACGCATGCTTTTAAATTTTTATAGTTAGTAATTAAACTTTCATTATTTTAATTTGCTGCTTATTTTTTATTCGTTCTTAATATGCATTTTGTCAAGTCTATCCATTTGGCAGAAAAACCATTTTTTTCTTTCTAATTTGGGAATTGACTAGCCCATGTCTCTTCAACATACTGATATTTGATACAAATCTTTGTCTTATCCTAAACCTAGAAAAACAATAATAACGCAAGTTCTTTTTGTAGTTATGATTGCTGAGTTCTTTCTATGATGTGCTGTATGTTAGTGTTATATTCTAGCTTCCCGTTACCGGTGTAGTCTTTTGGGTAATACTTTAAACTAACTGAATATTTTTGTGTTGCAGTCTTGCCTGAACCAGTCTGTATATGTAACCTAGCTGAGCTTTGATGAAGAAGCAACCTGCTCACTAAGTTATCAAGGTGCATTTTACTTTTCTCTCTTTCCATCGATCGAATGATGTTTTAAGGATAGTACAGGTCCTGGTTGACATTGATTAGAGAATGTTTTTGGTGTTTGATGGTGAATAGCAAATAGTTTCAAACATATAAGTTGCATAGAAAATAAACTAGCTAGTTTCTTCGTGTTCAGTGCTTTGCTGTAATCATTTTTACCAACTTATAATTTACATGCCGACATTGATTTCTATTTCTAATAGTCCATCGAAGTGGATGACCATTTCTATTTCTTTGTTAACTATTTTTTTTGTTAGCACCAAGGTTTGTTTTTGTTATATTCTTCTAACGAATGCTACATATATGTTTTACATGACACAGGCACCATGCCTTAGTAGGTTCTAGTATTCTTATTACTGTGCGGCGTATGCAGTTTACATTAGAGGCAATAAAAGCATAAGCATTGTTTGAAATTTCAATACCCCATCACTATATGCTATGCGACACACTTTTCTTTTCTCTATTCCTTAAGTTGAATAAATGCATAACATGGTTTTGTAGGTGATCGAGATGATACTTTGTATGCGTTTCTTCAAGGATAATTGAGCCTAGCATGCCACATCAATGCTTGTGTCTCCTACTATATATGTGCCTCAGTCATGCTTTTGAAACTTTCTATGCATTGAACTGTTATTTTATTGGTACTGTACTCATGGTTTGCTTCTATTGGTAGTATGGTTTGTATAATAGATTGCTTAAAGATGTTATGAAAACTTCAGTTATTAAAATTAAATTATATTTACACCATTGCTCTGTTTTTACTTTGAAATACTTCTGGAATTTGCAAGAAATTGACTAGGTGAGTGAGTTTGGATATGCACATATTATTCTAATGAATTGCATCAATTGCAATATTATGCTATGCTATATCATTTTTATTACCCGCCAAGGGACTTAGTAATAGGCCTTTGCCCACACAATTTATAGTCAGGAAATATGAGACCTCAGGATGAAAGGAAATATGAGTTCTGAATAATTTAGGAATGGTGTAAGATATCTGTAATGCATGTGATTCTAACACTAGTTGCATCAATTTGTTTTGGTTTTCTTATTTTATCAAATGTTAATTTTACTGACACACTAGTGCATCAATATGTCTATGGGTAATTATTCTCAAGCATAGCCAGACAATACTCGGGGTTTAGTAGGGAATCCATTAAACACTGGGAATAGATACTCATGTGCGTGTGTCGGGTGGATCATCCTTTGAATGATTGATGCATGTTGATGGGTTTTAGGGTTTTATTTGGGAGTTTGAAGGGGAAAGGAGAGAACGATTTTGAAAACAAAAACGAGGGTTTTTTTTTTCATTCTTATGTGTTCTTCTCCGCCATTGTGAAAAGTCTCGAATTACCCACCTCATGAATTTTTGAGAAATCCTTATTTTGTTAATATTTAATTAGGAAATTCATCTCCAAAACTTAGTTCAATATTCAATGAGTTTTTCAAAGTTATAACTCTGGAATATGCTATTAGCTCAAACTAGAAACAACATAAAACATTGACAAAATGGAAAACTAACCTACATTAACATCGAAATAATATTACATAAATAATTGGTAACATTAACCTAAGTTTAACATTATATGACATTACATGACATTATAAACAACCTTCTCTTTAATTCGATCCAAAATAGTCTCATTAACATATTTCAGTAAATCTGAATATATTGCACAGATACATACATTTGAAATGTAGAATGAAATATATTGCACAGATACATAGATTTGAAATGTAGAATGAAATTCGACTTATAATTCTTGTGTAAGAATTTATTATAGAATTTCATGTATCTATTATATTTTTTACGATCACACTAGATTTGACAATTTTTTCATCATCTATGATTTGTTTTGTGCCAACCAACTTCTCACATTTTTGATTATGTGATACTTACAAAATAATGCAAACAATGTAGAAAACACCACTGCAATCGAATTCATCAATGCGGTGTCGTGATCGTTGATATGACTTGTGGCATATTTTCTTGGTCTATCAACATATTTTGCACATTTTCAAAGTCCATGTAACAGTGTCCTCTTTTTTGGATTCTAAAAATGCAAAACCGATTGAAAAAATCATATCTATAGAAGTGACAAACAATTTCCAAGAGTGAAAGTTTATACTTGTTTGTTTTGTAGGGTGAATCAATTATGAGTACGGTGGGAAATACGTTAAAAAATATGATAGAATCGAGATGATTTCAAAATATATCTCGAACGATGACTTTATCTTCACAAACTCTACTTAGAAACACAGTGGTGATCTCCCAAAAGCTTCAATAGTTGTTGCATCTCAGATGTTGGTCCTCTTACCGCCTCGTTATTTTGAGCATGCAAATTGTATATTAGAAACATTTAGAGGCCTTTTCTGTTTCAAAGACGCGAGTATGTTTTTCGGCGCCACCATATTTAATGCCATGTACAAACAAATTTTTTCTACTCCGGAACAAGGCGACATACAATAGGATGACAAACTAGGTAACAACCACATATAATATACTCTAGAAAATATATTAGCTTAAATAGTCCTTTTCCCACCGTAAGTTAGTGTATTTTTGAATCTGGTCCATAAAATTTTTTTTGGTCAGAGTCCCTATATCTCACTTTCTTAATTGAGTTAGTCCCTGACGTTAGAAGTCAATTAAAAAATGTTGAGATGTCTAATGTTGATGACGTGAAAATGAATTTATATGTTCTTTTGTTTAATAAATTACACATGTGACCATTAAAATGTTCCCACAAAAAATTTCACTATGTTCAGAAATAGTCTTTTACTTTTAGTCTCTGTAAATTAGGGTTTTGTCTATTGGAAGAAAAAAAAACTATGAGATTGTGCGAGGGGGCGACGAACGAAGACGACGATAAGCGCTGTTGCATGACCGACTAACGCAACTTCATCAGACTCAAGCATGATTTAGCAAGTGATGAATTTCAATTTGATTTTTCATTACGATCTTGAGCTCCCACATTACACTCCCACCAACAGGTCCTCCCCAGACTATTTTCACAGAAGCAATCTCCTTGCCTCGTAAGTGATTCACTTCACGATCCTCAATCTGCAAAGGTGATGCCTTAATAGTCAAGTTCTCTCTAACTTGCACATCATTCAAATGGATCACATGAGACAAGTCAAGAACGTATTTTCGAAGTTGCGACACATAAAAGACATCATGAAGATTCAAAAGGGATGATGGTAATGCAACTCAGTAGGCCACCTCTCCTACCTTATAGAAGATATGACACAGGCTAATGGAACGTACGACCCACATCAGTCACTAGAGTGACTCTAAAAACACATGATCTCCCTCTTGGAACTCTTTTGTTGACTCTGCCAAGCGTTCATATTATCTTGAATCATCCTTATCTTCTCAGCAGTCTGCTGAACAATCTCTGGTCCAAGCACGACACTTTCACCAGAATCGTACAAACACAGAGGAGTCATACACCTCATTCCATACAAAGCCTCATATGGTGTCATTCTAATACTAGAATGAAAATTGTTGTTGTATGTAATCAACAACAAATAACTATCCCAATTACCTCATTCTTCTAGAACAGAAGCTCTCAAAAAATCTTCCAAGGATTGGATAGTCATCTCTGTCTGACCATCTGTTTGTGGATGATAAGTAGAACTCAATCTCAACTTAGTTCCCAAAGCATCCTGCAGACTCTGCCAAAATCTTGATGTGAATATCAAATCTCTATCTGATACAATGCTCAAAGGAATACCATGTAGTTTCACAATCTCACTGATGTAAACCTTTGCTAGCTTTTGCAACATGTAACTGATCTTTGTTGGGATGAAATGAGCTGATTTAGTAAATCTATCAATAATAATTCATATATAATCATTTCCCGTCGCCGTCTTTGGCAAATTTGTCACGAAGTCCATAAAAATGATGTCCCATTTCTACTCAGAAATACTCAAAGGTTGCATCAATCCTGACAGTTTCTGATGCTTGATCTTTGACTTCTGACAAGTCAAACATGAATAAACAAATTCAATAACATCCTTCTTCATACCTGACCACCAAAACATCTTCTTAAGGTCCAAATACATCTTCGTAGCACCAAAGTGAATACTCAAACCACTCATGTGACCTTCCTCAAGAATCTTCCTCTTAAGCTCTGACGAATTTGGCACACAAACTCTATCGCGAAATCTTATAACCTCATTCTCATCAATTTTGAAATCCACCTCTTTACGTTGATCGATCAACACCAACTGCTCAATCAAACCAAATTTGAATTTTTGACCCTCTCTGATCTCTTCAAGAATACCACTACTCAGCTTCAGCATACCCAACTTTACACTGTTAAGAGTCATCTCACACACCAAAATAAGATCTCAAACGTTGACACATGCAACGACTTCCTACTTAAAGCATCTGATACCACATTGGCTTTACCAGGATGGTAACTCAAACCAAAATCATAATCCTTCAGAAATTCAAGCCATATCCTCTGCCTGATATTCAGTTCCTTCTAATCGAACAAATACTTCAAACTCTTATGGTTGTTGAACACTTCAAATCTAGAGTCAAACAAATAATGTCTCCAAACCTAAACCATAAACACCACAACCGCTAATTCCATATCACGGGAAGGATAATTCCTATCATGAACCTTTAGTTATCTCGAAGCATAAGCCACAACCTGACCATTATGCATAAGCACACTGCCTAAAACCATCTTTGAAGCAACACAATACAAAACGAAAAAAACTAAATCTGACGCTGACGCCAGTTTCCTCTTGAGTTCTTGAAAACTCTCTTCGCACTGAACATCCCACACATACACTTTTCCTTTTCGAGTCAACCGAGTCAAAGGAAAATTTAACTTTGAAAAAACTTCAATAAACCTTATGTATTAATCACCCAAATCCAGAAGCTTCTGATTTGTGTAACAATCTTCGGAGT